ATCGATGCATCGATACAAAACTATTATTATTTACACCCCTACCCATAACTAATCCAACGTATGCCAGCATTTTTTTCAGATTATTATTGTATGTCAGGCATAGGGTTGTCTAAACCGTAAAGTTCTGACAGGGGCTTTAATAGAAACACGGTCACAGTCAAACCCCTAAAAAGAATTTCCAGAGCCAATATCCATTTTCTACGCTTAATCCTCAGAGCAAAACACAGATGAATGACAGGTGAGGACCATTTGCTGAGCTGAGCCAAGGATAGAGCTGGCACATCATTTATAGGTGTGATATTTGAACTGAGTTCTACTCACATATCATTACTGCCCAGATCCAGCATGGCCAGGTCTTGTAAATTGTTACTGAGAGATGATGGACCAGGCTGGAAGACGTGCTGAAGGCCGGTGGAGAGAGCCGGCGCGGTCATGCAGCGTGACGGCGAAGGACCTGCAGGCGCCGCGCCGCTCAGAGCCGAGCCCGGTGGCTGTGGGAACGAAGCCGACGCTGGAAAATCAGAAGCTGCACCAGCGGAAAGTGTTGAAAAGGCAGCGCTGGGGAAGTTTGAGGCAGAGGAAGCGGCAGCCACTCTGGTGGGAGTCACTGAGGTCAGCGTCGCAGAGAGGGCTGGTTGAAAGAGCGAAGGTGTCGACAGTGCATTAAAGGCGGGCAAACTGGAGTCAAAAAGGTCCAAAGGTTGACTGGACTCCTAAAAATAAAAGGAAACGTTAATATCACTGTTATTTTCAGCAGGGAAGAACGTGAGACAGTCTGAAGGTCTTAGTCTCAATTTAAATACCTGTTGAGGTGGTAAATGATTGCTCTGATTGGAGGTGCTTGATTCATTAACTACAGGACCAGGATCATTCAGGCCTGGGAATTTACACAAGTTTAATTTTTCACAATAAAAAGACCCTCATAGACCCCTGAAAAAAAGAAAAAGAGGATGCAAGCATTTGAATGTAGAAGGTACCTAAGGATAGCAGCTCTTCATCCAGCAGGGAGAGGGCTGCAGAAGGCGGAGCGGCACTCTTAGAACGAAGCTCGGCGGGCGCCGTTCCGCAAAGCAAATCGCCCGAAAAACCCAGAGAAGAGGCTTGAGGTTCAGGTTCAGGCTGAGAGGGAGTCTTCCCGTCAAGACCCACCAGGTCGATGAGAATCTCTGAGTCGTTTGTGCTTCCAGAGCCTGATTGAGAGAAAAAAGCAGAAGTTTAAATTCAGTTTTTGAAGAAAATATTTAAATAAACTCACAGAGCCTGCTTGGAAACTTTTCCCACCATTAGAGCATCTTAATATCTTATAATGATGCATTTCTATTCAGCCTTTAATGTGAGCAATCTTCACATACCTGTACCGTAGACAAATACAGAAAGTATAAGACTGGACTATATGTGGGGGTGTCAGACTAACGGGGCTAAACTCTTAATTACTCAACATTTCCATGTTAAAATTTCATCCCTCTCCAAAATCAGTCCTTCTGTAGGGAATTCCAAAAAAGATAAAAAACAATCCACTGGACTTTGTTTCCAAGTTTAAAGACGTTTCTCTTCCATCCAGGAAGCTTTTTTACTTCAAAATGTCAGAAATAGCGTTTAGTTCCAGGTTTTATCCAGCAGCCCAACAAAGCCTGGTTTTAGTTTAGAAAACATGCAAATAGAAACGGATGAACGGGTCCCCCCCTTTGGAATGGGGGTCGTTTGGCTTCTTTGTTAGCCTGCAATGCCCCATACCTGTCTTTGTCTCTGAAGGGGGGGTTGTTAGAGGGAATTGTTGGCCTGGATGAACAGGTGAGGTCTTCTGCTCCCCTCTAATGTAT